AGTCATATATTTAATTTGTCAATTTAATGTTATTTTATAATTAAACGCTTCCTCGAAAAGGCATTATCGTGGAAAATATAATAAAGCTATCAGGACAAATTGTGCCCTAAGGTATAACAAAAGCTTACAGAATGACACTGAAAATGCGCCACATAATAAGTAATGCCTTGTAGAACTAAACATTAACTATTGTTACAAAGGATGTTGGAAGGAATAGAGCGTAAAAATATTATAGGGATTTCATAAAATGTAGAAGTTATGTACATAAGTCGACGTTGCGAGTTATGGAGTCAGTACAAAGTAATACTAGGTAATTTTACTGTTGTAACTAAAAATGCATAAGTAATATGCATTTTTACATTTTTTCCTTCGTTATCTGTTTACTTTAAGAACAACGAACCAAACAAATATAAAACAAAGCGCCATTTGCTAAAAGCAAATAAGTTACCAATCCAAATGCGTTCAAAAGCTACTAAATCGCTTCTTTAACAGTAGCTGGTGTCTGGGATAAGGCTATAGTAATATGGTGTTTAGTGAGCAACTCTACTTCAATAAAAACATTAGGGAGGTAATACCGCATAATTAGTTGGAACGTGCAGACCACGTTTACTTATTGTTAGGGCATTTTCAAATTTAAATAGGTAATTTGGTCGGCACGTTTTTAATTAAATGTACACGCGTCCATCCTTTTGTTCGGTTTATCTTATTGTTTATACATGTTTTTTTATATATATTACGCACGAGTACGTCCTAATCAATGTTATAAATTATTATTGCTTATAAATTGTGGAGAAAATGCCGAAAACGATTTAATGAAGCTGTAATATGAGTTTTTTCAACAAAAAAGTGATTTTACTAATTCTAATAGTACTTTATTACATTCATTGGGTGCGGGAATAATATACAAAATTACAGTGAACGACATACATTATACAACAAACAAATAAACTGTGATGATAAAACGAAACTTTAATATTCTGTTAAATATGATTAATTGTAAAAAAATGAGGAAAATATAAATTATATTTATATATTATAATATTTTAATAAAGATAATCTATTATTTTAATTGGAATATTTTAACCCCAAGATGTGTAGGCCATAGGAAATTAAATAATATACTTTTGTTTCATTAGTTTAAAATCAATAACTCTAAAGAAAATTAATATTACTATTATCGACAGGAATATTGTTGACCAATATTTCCCTTAAACAAAAACACAACAAAACTGTTTTTCTCCGAAATTGATCATCATTATGTATGTACTAGACTAATCTGACGTAATCAATAATCAGGCATACATTAATCAATTATTGTTTAAATTTAATACCACAGTAAAACATATTATATGCCTTAAATAATTTAAAGAATAACACACATTTTCGTAAAACAAACTGTGTTCGTTGTACAATGATCTATGTATATGCATTATACTAAGGCAGAATCAAGTTATACCCTCGGAGCGCTTCTCATAATAAAATAATCGTAATTTTTTCTTTCTTACACCATTTGTGCGAGTCATATTTGATACTTTATAACGATAATATTTTATAGAAATACGGTTAAGAACTCCTTTCTTAAATGACCAGCCAACTGAGTACTTTTTTCAACAGAAGAAAAAAAACAATAAAAACGTAGTAAATAAAATGCCTCGATGAATTACATTTTGCTTCGAACCGTTGTTATGCTGTGTTTTAATGACTATCGCACAAACTTTTTTTTTGTCTCTCTATATTCTGTTATCCCTATAATAAATTCGCAGCTACCCTGACCGAAAGATATTGTTCTTTCGCGTATTAAGTAAATCTAAACAAAAAACACCAAGCGCGTAAACCCATAACATTGGTATATATATTTTTGAAACAAAATTTAATTTATAGTAATTATAAAACCATTATTGAATAGTCTTTTAAAAATAAAATAACTAAATCCTTCGCATTCGTTCATTGTATTCTGTATGTTATACAATATATGTATATTATCGTTAACGCAATTATTCGTAAACCAAATACCGAAGTTATTCATTTCAGCAAATAATATATAATTAAAAATAACAATTTTTATATGCCTAAAGAAAGTTGAATGCGTTAAAGTGCATTGAAGATGTATAGTTTGATAGCTCATTAAACATCATTAAGCGTTTCGTGGCTAGTCATTAAATGTATTAAGTATGTTTTGTGTAACCCGACATAAGAGTATTTTGTGCTAAACTTTTTTTTATTATTAATAATGATGTCAAATTAATTGACAATAAATAAATTCAATATAAATCATTTTTAAATTCAGTTATAATAATGAAATACATTTTAATCGACATTGTATTACGTGGAACAAAAATAATCATTATTATATATTTTTAAGGTATAGCGTTGGTAGTGTAGGTACTACGATATACAGCATAGCAAGCCTGCATAGTTTTTTCAAACGCAATACAGTCATTATGTTTATATTAGTGTTAAACTAATATATCACATTAGTGATAAACAACTAAATTATTTACTATTATAAAATTCAAAATAAAATATTTAATATTACGATAATGTTTGTAATTACCGAAAACATTTTTTAAACATAAGAAAGAAGAGGAGTTTTTTTACAATTAGCTGGTACAAACAACATATAAATAATTGTATATATTTTGAAATTGTTCAGGACAGCCAAGAGAAAATCTATTTCCCATTTACCACTACTGGCGGGAAAAAATGCGTTTTGTAATATCTTTATAGGTAATTGTCCGATTTTATTGTTTGATGCGCGAAAAGGTAAATAGATTTTCCATGAACAGCTTCCCATAAAAAACAATTTTTTTATAAAAAGTGGAGATACCTGGTTCTTGTTCTAGACATTTCAATTGGAGTAATTCATTAGGAGGAATTAGCTATAAAAACCTAGAAGTGCATTGACCTAATAAAAAAAAGGTAGTAGATGCTATAGTCAATACAAATGGGTATACCTTATGTTGAATACTCAAATAATAGTTTAAACTATTCGAATACGTCTTAATGTAGTTGAATCTTCAAAATTCGATTATTCAAAATATTATGGTTTGCAATAGATATGAAATTTTCTAATTCATGAAATGACAATTGAGTAATTCATTACTTAGTTCATAAATTTGAAACAGATATTTTAATGGTTTTATTTTCTGATGTATTATACTTTCATGGGTATTAAATGTATTTATAATATACACGAATGTATATATTAAATTGTGTGTAATGTGAACTTTATGAACTCTATAAAATTTGCCGAACACAGCAAAATAACAAATTCAAGAATGAAGTTCAAAGGAAAATGTAATAGAAAAAGAAAATTCTTGAATAGTACACTTACACGTGTAGCCAGGAATGTGTTTATAACGGAAGTATATATAATATTGTAATGATTTTTTCACGAAAGGTATTTAATTGGGATGACACATCAAAATACAACATGCCTTGACTCCCACACGTTTCAAACACCCAGCCCATTATGCACTTAACAACACTTAAGGTTTTTTTCTTTGAAAATAAAGGATCATCTTATGAATGGTGCTTCCCAGTCGCCATATTATTTTATAAGAATAGCGACTACCATAGTAGTATTGGCTTATAGTACATAGCTAGTAGCTACCCTACACAGCGCTTACATCTTATCTGCCTATATTATTTTTTTAGAGAAAAGTTTCCGCAATTAAAATTATATAGTTGGGCAAATAAACAGCAATAACCTATTTCTAATTATAATGCTGGCAGTGGTTAGTATTTGGATACTTGACTCGACATATTAGCACAGTAAAGTTAAATCAAAGGCAACAGATCTTGTGGTAGAGTTAAAATTATAATGTACCTAATGTTAAATTCAAGATGAAAATTCGTTAAGATAAGGTAACCTTACGTTTTATTCATAAGGGTCGAGCGAAGGTCATCACATTAGCAAAACCGATGCATACTAGTTGCCTCCCAATGATATCCGAATTCCATCCAAACGATCCTTTTTACGCCAGGTAAACAGTACAACGAATATTTATTTATTTTTATAGTTTTACATACATCGTATCGTTACTTGCAATCTGCATACTACCAAATTGTTCATTATTTTAGAATAATTATTCATAGTGTGTATTTTGCCATAGATGACTGATAGTAGTAATTGTAAAAATATTGTTAAAATAAAAATAACCATAAATTGAAATTATCAGTTGTCGTATCTAAGCGAAAATAATATATACGTTGTGTAATTGACAATGGGATTTCAACTCTCAAACGTGTACATAAAGAATAATTGTACACTTGTATTACGTTATTGTCGTCGCGGCCTTTTATAAAGCATGTATTTAGTAATTAGGAGTATCTACAGTTAGGTTTTTGTTAGTTTTACAGTTTTTATTTTGGATTAATCGTGTTATTTTTTCATATAATACTCTTTGTTTATGTAGTACAAGTATACCAATAGACTAAAAATATTAACAGCCTACAATGCTCAAACCTATAATAATTATTGTTCTTTAATATTACTTGTTTAAATAAGGGCTGCTCGAAAACTCGAGTACCTGCAATACGATTGGATCGTTCACGGGCGAGAGTTGTTAATTTATAATAAATATATTGATAACTGCACTATTTCAATAGTTATCTATTGAGATAGTACAATATTCAATGCTCTCACTAATATTACGTGCTATGAGGGTTCAACTAAAGAATTTTTCAATTTAACTGAACGTATGGAAATTTATCGTACTTCTAGAAGAATGAAAATCAAATAACGAGATAAACAGTCGATCAAAAAAATATTTATTCCTATATATAAAAAAAAAACTAGTGAGCAAAAATAACCGCATGCGTCAGTTTTGATAATGTAGTGTTTTATAATATCTACACAGTGTAGATAATAAAATATGCAACATAATTTCCCCTTACTCCGCATTAGCCGAAACGGAACGGAAAAAAAATGTAATATATTACAATATAATGTACCTAATACGATAATAAAACATAAAAAATAAATATAACGGTCTTACTTCTCTTAGACGGCGTCGTTAAAGGCAGTTCGCTTCTCGGTACGGTGTCCTTTTTTTGGTTTATTTACATAATAATACCTGACGTATATTAATAATAATAATATCTAAGTAGAACACGACTCGCGGTAACGGTAAACAATAGAGAAATTAATTTTTTGACCATGCTAACACGACACTATCGAGCGACAAAAAATTTATAAAAAAGAATTAAAACATTTTTTTTTAAACCGGATTAATTAAAAAAAAACTAAATAAATTAATAAAAAACGTTTACAGGTCGACGGACGAGTAATAAAGCACACGCTGACACTTGCGTCGCATAACACACAAATTATTTACATACAACGTGCATAAATAATATTTTATGATGCGGCGGCTGCGTCGACACACGCCAAACGCACGTGTATAACCGATGACGGACGCGGCAAACCGTCGCTAACGACCACTGGAGACCCACTGAATCCACGCCGCATCGCCGGTCCGCGGTATGTGTGTGTACGGTATGCCGCGTTTACAGATCACATCACGGAGGCACCTACAGCGACGGAGGCGACGTCGCGTCGGTGGCGCTGAGTGCCTGGTGTATCGGCCGATTCGTGCTCGCGGCACACTACCTCCTGTGCAGTGCTTATTACGTTATTGTTACGTACGCGACAACAACAATAACGAATGTATAATAAACAAATATTAAAAACAATAATAACAACAACAACAACAAGATCAGATTAATGACACGTCCAAGGCCAACCCGCGACACCCGGTTCGTATCGCCCGTCGTAATATTAGGAGGTACACGTTGGACTTTTTAGCAGTTGGGTTGCTTGTACTTATCATCGACATACCGTCCATTGGTCTACTTTCGTATATGAAATATATTTGTCTGGCCCAAACCTAGTACGGACTTACCGTTATTGACTGCTTGTTCAGCCTTACAATATCTTATTTATTTGTATTATTGTTTATTAATGGCAATACCTCTCACGAATCTTTTCAGTTGTTCAATGCCTTCTTGTTTCACTCATATTTGAAAATTGCCTTACCTCCAAAGTAAGAATATAAAATAGTACGTTCGGTTTAAAACTAATAATTGTTGTATTAGAATCGAGAGGGAGGGGGGGGAGGGTTGTAAATGGAGGCGGCAAGTGTAATGGTGGTAATTTGCAAGTGTAAGGTTTTTTTTATTGGACAAACCAACATCTGTCATGATTCATTAAATTATTATGTATTAAGTTAATAAATTATAACTAAACAATTATATTTTATTATAGTTGTATGGATTATCTCATGCAATACGGGATTTAAGACTATTTTCGACCATTTTCTAGGGTTTGGCGGGTAGTTTTACCAAAGAAAGGACCTTACACTAAGCAAGTGTAACCGAGAGAGCAGCGTTTCGTTTTAATGCTAAATTCACAAAATATTATGTTTTGATAGACTTAAAACACTTTTGAAAGTGATGACTCATTTATTATAATAAATAATTATTTCACGATAAAATCTTTTGTGTATTTTCTCTAATTGTTTAAATTTACGCCCATTTGACCCTTTCTTAATAATAATAATATTGATTTTCTTCTTACAGCAAAAAAAACCAGTTATTTTATAAAAAAAAACAAACATTAAGTTTTTCTCAAAATTTTGAAATTATATGTTATATACTTTCTATTACAATAATTATTTAATATATAAAAAGTAGATTTTTAGTTTTTTTTAAATGGAGTAAATAACGTTTTAGTTAATAACTTTAAAATAAAGTTTGATCGACTATTCGTAATTAAATAGTAGTTACAATAAAACCTTGAAAATAAAATGCTTATACCGTAGTGTATCTAACGCCAATGCCTTACACCGTCTCGTCATTATATGGACATTATTCACGGTGCCGAAAATCGTTGTACCGACACTTACTCAAAAAGACACGTCTACTCCAGCCAAATAATATGTTCTTTGTTGTGTGACTCTAAGGATAATTATAAGGGTTGTCTGGTACTCCATTCCATTTCAAAAGCAACCAACCAAAGTACCTTCAATCGACCCGAAACGAGATCTAGAGAAAAGCAATTCATCATAGTTGGCCATCTTATGCCGCTGTTACTGGTTCTCCTACAGTGCTTCATCGAGTACAAACAATGCTTTATCTAAATTATTTTCGAAACTATTGTCTATATTGTAGTGGTTTATGTTTTTACTGTTCATTTCTTTATTTTCTTATTATTCAGTTTGGGCTTCAACGGCATTGATAATTAACCTTTAGAGGTTTATACACAATATTACATTACTAACTTAACAATGACGAGTTCGTATTAATCATCGAGAATTTGGCGCTTTCTCTTTTGGATTTTCTCGACGCCCTCTCATGGCATAAGCCTAACTAGTTAGGAAAATGTATATATTTCATCTCAACACTGCTTTAGGGACTTCTTGGAAAACGACATAACGACCATGGCTATTTCCAAGTCATAGTAGTAATTGCTAACATACTGCGTTGTTAATAAAATAATCACTGAAATGCATAAGTTATAATATAAAAAAAAACTGATATAAAAACGCGCAATTTATTCGTAGATTTAGGCGAAAAGGTAAAAGTGAATTTTAACTGGGAAACATTTCACACGTCGTAAATAACAACCGAAGAACCTTTTTCTATACACGCAATCTGGGATTAGAATAAAATTCAGGTCAACGATTTTATACATAAAGTGAACCCGGTAAGTATTAACGCACAACACTTCCTCGGTAAAAGTGCCACATAAGATATTTTCTACTATTTATATACCTGCGCAACGCCACGACCGTTTTTATTTGTATAGACTATTTTCAAGATATTTTTTAGAAAATCAAATACTTCTTTCATAACCTTTTTTAATGACAAATCATAAACCTAATTTGATTAAAAACAGCACAAACATCATAGAGGAGTGTATACCTATATTCAGTAGGTACTATTAGTAGTACTGCCTATAGATACTTTACAGATACTGGGAATCAATGATTAAATATTACTTGTGAATAGGATATTTTTTGGAGAACTGCTACATTGCTTTATATTTTATATCTAATTGCATTTACCGCTGTTGTTATAACGCATAATATGTTGACATACGTTAATAATTACTCGGTTACTATAATTTCTTAACTATGTCGTATTAATATATATAATTAATAATTATATTTATATTAGGTATATGCTTCAGTTAACGCCATTAATATAATTTATTTTTGCTATCTATTAATTTATTTATCGTTTGACATGCGTGAAACATTTCTCTTATAGGCCAATGATAGTAAGTGTATGTAGTAAATTTTTTTTTATGTCCGTGGATTTTGTGATATGACAAGTAAAGAAGCTTGAAAAAAATATGAATAGAAAGACGGCGCGGCGTGGTCGTGTAGGATAAGACGACAGTGTCGTTTCACTTGATCTCCGGTTCGACTATCGGCTACTTATACAGACAGTTTTCTTTTTATGGGCAGGTGGGGCAAGAGAGTCTGGAGAAAGAAAAAGTCACCCATCCTTCTGATTACAAACTCGTTTGGTCACCGTTAGGTTAGGTAATGCTAACCCGTCGAAATATATAAATCCCATCTGAAAACATCTAGTTAGGGTAAAAACGTTAAACGTGGAAGTAGCAATTTCAAAACATGTCGATGAAGTATATACATTTGTTATTTTTCAATTTACCCTTAGTTAATAAGGTTCCTATAGGGACGGATTTCCATCCTAAATGGCATTTCATCATTAAAAAGTATTCATTATAATTTTTATAGTAATAAACAAGTAGTAGTTTAAAAACATCGGTAAAATCACCAAACTTGACTAGGAAGCACCTATTACACGGCTTTTGGTTTAGGGTAAGTGACGTGTGCGTGACTTCAGGGTAATAACGGTAATGACGGCCTTGTTCCCGACAATGATAGAAAAAAAGCATGACTATATAGGTGTAATGCGTAAATAATGCGTTCTTACAAGTCGTATAGGACTTGTTATAACGAACAAATATTTGAGTCCCTTTAATTTAAATATAACTATAATATCTACTGTGAATATACTAAATTATTTGTAGTGTTGAAGGTCTAAGCAATGTGTTTTTTCTATTACGCTTAATGACTCGTATGGTATAGACACTTTCATATTATTACTTCCAAAATGATTGTCATTATATTTTATTGTGTCAATAATAACTCGCCCCTCGTTCTAGCCACCTAAATTAAACATAATACTACAGCAGCCACTGGGGTGTTATGTTTACATGCTATATTGCTATGTATGTGTGTTTAAATTTAAGTAGCGTAAAAAGTACTTTTTACATAAGTGTTTTCATACGTTTCTCAAAAAATATTGGATGATCATATTAATTAATTTGCATAATAACTGTTAAAAATATATAATATACACCCTGTCAGTTGACAACCGTAGCACGCTCACCGCGGATATTTTGTAGTTCTGTAAATTTGTTGTTCTATTATTCATACTTGTGTTGTGCTGTAATTTTTTTGTGAACTTAATTTCGAACTACCGATTTTTAGAAATAATAGGAGTGCAGAACAATTAGTTAAAACAAAAAAAAATATATATATATATATGCACTTTGGCCTTACCTGATATTGATTAGTCATTTATTAATTGGATAACTTAATCGGATAACTAAAAAAGATAAATTAATTAACTTATAGATTGTCTCTGGAAAATTAAAAGTTGACGCTTATAATATCGTCGTGGCCGCGAAAAAACCTCCTATGTGCCAATTTTACAATTTTGAGGTTTTGGTAAACCTAGATACAGAATAAGATAAGCTATGATATGATAAAATCTCCAACGTACTATCTCCATTGTAGAATAAATGAAAAATGAAAAATAAAACCTATGTATTACCTACTATAAATTGTTTTACATTTTTTAGTGTCCCCTGAACAATTAAGTTTTAGCAGATAAGAGTTTTTTCGCTGCAATGACGATTTATAAATTGTTGTTTTGGATTTGTTAAGTACACAAAAATTAATATATTAAGATAAATCTGTGTGTATGTAATTTCGACTATATTTACTAAGTTATACAATTATTAAATCATTTTGATGTATGTAAAAAAATGTACCGGTTTACCGTATGATGCTCCGCAGGTATATTTTAAACAACGCTATTAACTTTCTGTACATATCCTATAACAAAATACCTTCGCTGCTCTGCATCGAAGCTAAAAATTAAATAAACAAAAAAAATCAGTACAGTGGGGATGGAGCATAGTAAGGTCGGGGGTAGTCGGTATACTAACTGGAACATAGAAACTCATTTAGTTGAGTGATGAAATCACTTTCAAATAAAACGATTCGATGCAAATTTGTGGATGGTTCACAAATATTAAATATATTAAATATTAATACAAATAATTGTAATTGTATTTTTGGTATTACGATTAAGGTTCATCTCTCTGTTGATCTCTGTCTAATGTTTATAATGTTTTTTTGTCGTT